GCCTCTTTCACTGCATGGTGTACTGATGCCAAGTGAGCCACACACCACCACAAGAGTGCAAGAACTGGGTTGTACTCAGAAAGATCTCTGGCTGAAGTTTATACACTACTCACTGAGATCTATAAGGCTGCACTGGCACAATTGTTCCTGGACAGTTGAAACGCCTCTGTGAAACGCTGCTAAGTATTGTTCTATCTCCACAGTTGTCTGTTGTAACCTGCTGCTGCAGTGTGCTGTAGGATTTAAGTGAATTGCATTGTGATCACCATCTGTAGTCAACTAACTCCCAGACAACTTTGGTTTAATAGGATGAAGTGCAATCCTACACATCCCCACTCAGAAGATAATTCCCACTGAGTTCATTGGGACGTCCTCTGAGGGAATTGCGTATTGAATTGTACTCTAAAGGAAAGGAGATAAGCAATTAATATTCTCTTTCCTTTAAAGACTTGTCCATGCAACTTTTGTTGGTCTGTGGCCCCATCTTCAATTAATGTATAAGGGGGGAAATAGATTGCATCCAAAAAGGCATGAACTTCAGGCCGAAGGGTTTGGCAAGAAATATTATTTTAATTTTGTTTTACATTTGATTGTGTTTGGATTGGTATATTACATTCACTGATAATTATAGCCTTCATACAATCATAAATAACAATTAAGCAGGGAGGACTGAAGCACCCTTTCCCCTGTGTCCATGACTGTAGCTGGGTTATGCTCATCCATGCAAGAAGTAATTTAATATTCTGTGATGCTATAATTTAAAAGCATAAGAGCGTGGAAACTTTGATTGGGATCTGATCAAACAACAATAGTCAGGAATATAATGCCTCCTCCCGCTACCATTTCCCAGAATGTGATTTTCTGGATGATATAACTGAACTAAAATATTGGCCACCGTGTTATCCAGACCTTTTCTGAAAAGGTTTCCTCAAATAAGTTAATGTAATGCTAGCCAAAAGGTCCAGTTCCTTGCATGCCATTGCCATAAATAAACTTTATGGAGCAATAGTTGAGCTCCTTAGCTTTTAATAGTGCTGCTGCCACCATCACTGAATAAAGAAAGTTCACATAAAATCAGTTGATTTCACCTTCAACATTCTGAGTTTAGAAATTGATGTAACTTTAAGAATGATTTTTTCCCCCTCAGTTTGCTTGGGAGAATCTTGTCACCTTTGACTATGTAGTATATCAAATAAGGAATCCTCAGTGTATTGTTCTTCTTTAACTATTGCAAATAACACTTTCACAGTGCAACCCTATACTCAGGCATGAGTCTCTTTCAGTTAAATGGGGTTTATTCCCAGTCTAAATTCACAATAGATCCAGGTTAAATGAGGATTAATCTGTCAGCAGGTCCTAGCAGGTCTCTGCTTCTGAACATGTATAGGAAAGTTAATCTTTCAACAATATTTCTAGAGACTGAAAAAATCCCCTTGCCACTCACTCACACACTTGGCACATTCTTTCCAGCAGGTCTGGAGATGTTCTCTAGGTTCCAGTGAAAAAGAACACACCTCAATACTCAATGGGACACGTGTTTCTTAAAGTAGACTTCACTTAAATGTTTGGAAGGGGGAATTTAGTTTAAAAACTTTAGTTCTCACCTTCCGTGCTCATCAGTGGTAACCATTCCAAAATCTGAGATGCTTTCAGCAAATCTGCCTGATGCGTTTTTGCTGCCAGTAACTTCATTCCCATAATCTTTAAAACTTTTTCAGCCAAGCAGTCATTATCTTTCAGCATTTGTACTTAAAACCAAAACCATCAAACAAACCTTTACAATAAACCCTTTCATCCTATACCATTTTCAGTTTTGGTCACAAAACCAGCCTATTCAAGGGCCAAATGCTTGCAGCATTTAAACCACGCTATATAGCAAGCCATCTTTATGCCCATGTCTGAAATATGTGCACAAGTAGTTTGACATCCATCCTTGCAGCCTGAAACCCATCAGGCAGGATCACTGTGGATAAACCACCTATGGACAAAAGCATCCAGGGCGTTTAACTGAAGCAAGCAATTGACAGCTTTGAAGGATTGGCAGTGCAAATGCAGCCAGCTGAAATCTGATTATGCAGATGGATTTCCTCTGGAAATCTGATACTCATGGCCTAGAAATGGAGCTGAAAGTGGAATTCTACTGGTGGGATCTGTACAGACTTAACTCAGGCATTCCAAAGCAATTGCCTTTCAAACAACCTGTCTCCCTTTCCCCCATATTCTCTCAGTATCTTTTTGTAAACTCAATCTTCTTGTAAGCCAGAGATGGGTAACTTTGAATGGTCCAGGGACCAGTTTGAACCCCTAGGCTCCTATGGGGCCCATGCTCCTGTTGCTGTACCACCTGCAGCAGCAAAAAACAGATGGTTTCCTGCCAAAATTTGGCAGCCAACTGCTACATGGATGCAAAGGGAGCACATTTAGCTGGAAAACAAGCTCTGTTTTGTACTTTTGAGTTTCCATAGCAATTTTCTATTGAATTTCACTTAGAAATAACAGATTTTTTTGCCATGGCTCTGTCATCTTTATCAGCATGGGGAAAGGGGATGCAGGATCCACAGTCCAGGCCCGGGGGGGGGGGGGCAATGCTTATTGTAAGCTAATATAGGTGGGAACTGTTCATTATTTTGCCTGTTCTTTGTATTTTTTCCACTTCCCTCATTCTATGATTGTAATAGAATCTAAGATCAGAACAGAATCTTGTAAAGGTTTTGCAGAATCTTGTAAAAGACCACCACCATCACAACTACAGAATACTCTTGCATATTATTAAAGTTATATGTCTTTCTTCCCCAACTTCATTCCCTCCAGATATGTTGGGAAAGAACTCCCATCATCCGTAGCCAATGGCCATGCTGACTGGGAATGATGGAAGTTGCAACACATCTAGAGGGCACTCAATTGGGAGAGGCTATACTATCTTCACAGTATTCTTAGAGCCCTGAAAAAAGTATTTAAAGTTTCTATTCCAACCCACGGAAGCTGCACTTTCTCCAAAGCTAAACATAATTATTTTAGTTTAAGTGGTATGATGAGTTTGGTTCTGTATACATTTCAAACAATGTGGATTCATAAAAGCTGACAGTGAATAGGGAGGATGGGGAAGAAGAATAAAATGAACAAGCCTCATCAACTGCTTTTTAAGTACTCCATTTCAGTAGAAGGGGTCTATGTTGCATCTCCCATTAAAATCAATAACACAGTGAAGCATTGAAGATGGCCTGAATCACGGCCCATATTATTGTCTAAATTAGCATATACTACTAGATTCGGTGCAGTGACTAATGGTCCCACTACCGGTAGTAATATCCCAAATAGCATCAAAACATGGCTTTTTTCAGTAACTAATTTTTGCAACTCCTCTTAATATCTGTCTCTTGATTGCAGCAGAGAACACAGTTCTGAAATATTAGGTCATTAATAACAAGAACAGCAGTAACAGAAGAAAAGGAGGAGGAATGTTAGTTGTTGTGATGCTGGAACTTTCAAAGTCCATTTCTTTGTGATTCCAAAATGTCAGTTTCCTCCAGATTTAGGGTTTCTGTATAATGCCACCCACAGGGATGTTTGAACTGACAAAAGTTTTTAAGCTTTGCGCCATGCTTCAATGACGTTTCCCAGCCAAACCTTCAACTTCCTAGTAAGTCTGTTGATGGGGATAAGTGGAGTTTGAATAAACAAAACCAAGGAAGCACCCTAGATTTTCAGAACTGCCTTCCTGCTCTCCCTCTCTCTTTCCTCAAACTTTCTTATGTTGTACCTTTACTAAGCAGGTCCAAATCTCTCTGTGTGTGTGTTTGGGGGGAGGAATCTTCTCTGAGGAATTCTAACTAACACTCAAATTCTTTAGGATGTTAGTAAAGGCCCAGCTGTCAGAAGTCTTTGCTGAGAAAAGATTGATCACTTCTTTCTTTCTCTCCCCCTCACTCTCAACTCTCTCAGTTTGTGTGGAACTTAAAAACAAAAAGGCCTAGAATATTCTTGAATACATGTCATGAACTTGTGCTATAAAATAAACTCCTAAAATTGAGTTGATATCCCAGGAAGCCTAAACTTGCCAGGCAAAGCAGAGATGCACCGTTGCACTTAAAAAAAAAAAAGATTAAACCATTTCACTAATCTTTGGTTAGTAAAGTCAGTAATATTATCAACACCTACCCCCAACTTATCCATGACTTCCAGCATGCCAAGTGATCTCAAGAAAGCCCAGAATAGGGCATCTCCTAACAAGAACTCTTTGGGACAACCTCTGATACTGACCTGAATTCTTCAGCTGGGTTTATAACTTTTTAAAACTCCAAATCCAAATTCAAGTCTGCCATTCCACTGCATTTTCTTCACTGGGTATCAATGTGGCTGTCTGCAACCTAAACGTGTCCTGGCTCTACCTGGGAGGTTTCTTCTCCGTTCCTGATGCCTGTCTCTTGCCCTTTGGCTTCCCTTCTTTCCTAATTCCTCCCTCCCTCCCGGAAGGGGCTCATACCAACCGCTCAGTCCCCGTAGCAGAGAAGTGAAAAATACGAACTGTATCCGCACTACTCTCGCCCCCAGGTATGTCCGTCCAGCCTTCCTTGCATCTTGCTTTGAACTCAGCATTTGCAACCAAGAGAACATCCTAACTGAGTAATATTTGCCAAAAGCAAGGAATAATATGGTTATGATTATGATTATGATTAGCCATTAAATGGGGGGGAAGCCTTCTGTTTTCAACCTGGCTGGCCCTGCCATTGGACAAGTCAGGCCACGTGACCAGGAATTGGCTGCAATTTATCCCTGCTCGTCAGTTTAATAGAGCAAGGTCCCCATACGCCTGTATTATCAGCAATATAAGATTTTTTTAAGGGGGGAGGGAGGGGGAGGAGACTACAAATAATATTGATGCTAAAGCGATATAAAATATTGGAAGGGCCTTAAAAATCAATCGTTCCTTCCCCTCCCACTCACCCACTCGCATCCCCCCTCATCCCCCTCCCTTTTGCACTGGGCCCCTGGAAAAAGCCATGAATTTTGAATTTGAGAGGGAGATAGGCTTCATAAACAGCCAGCCATCGCTAGCGGAGTGTCTGACGTCCCTTCCCGCTGTCCTGGAGACATTTCAAACTTCATCAATCAAGGAACCACCGACGTTAATTCCTCCTCCTCTGGAACAAACTCTCCTCGGCTTGGATCCTTGTTCCAGCAGCCAGCCCACGCCGAGGAGTCAAAGGAGACCAAGACATGGGCAGGCCCAGAAACCCACGCTCCAGCCCGCTGCTCTGGCCGGAGAATTCCCCTGGATGAAGGAGAAGAAATCCTTCAAGAAAGCCGGCCAGGTCCCTGCCTCATCTTCGCCCTCCTCCTCCTCCTCCTTGCCGGGATCTGCCGCCGGCTCTCCTGCAGGTCTGTAGACAATAAAGGGGGAGACAGGGGTGAAGGGTAAAAAATTGGGGTGGCCGGGGTGGCCGGAGCACAGACCGCGCCGCCGAAAACCCACGCGCTCCTGGGAAAGGAGCAGAAGCACGCCAAGCCTCCCAATTCGGATCCCAACCAAAGCAAAAGAAATGACGAAAGGGCAGGGTGAGCCCCTCTTTCTCTCTCTCTGGCTCCCCTTCGATCGATCCTCGGAACAAAAAAATCCACCCACCACCCCACTGTATTAATTTCTGGCCCCTTTCACTACCTCTTGTGCTATGGCTATGAGAATAAATAGAAAGCCGGAGAACAAAGCAGTAAGAGAAAATAAAGCCGCCGATATACATGGGGGTGTTATAGTTTATGTAGGCTGCTTTTATTCACGATCAGGAGGAAGACGGGTGGAAAGAAGTTAGGGGAAAGGTGAGCAAAGGGGGTGGGTGGGAAGAACAGCTCTTCGAAGTTCGCCTCCAGTTCTCCAAAAGAACCACAGGCGTAGCACCCTGTCCGTCCACCCCTGGGATGCACGGGCCTCCCATTTCAAAATGTATTCTCCTCAGTCCCACCAACCCGATTCAAATCGCGGGAATCGCCCTAGTCATCAAGCGGGGGGCAAAAAAAGGGGGTTAATTTCTTTTTCCTTTTTACATGTCTCCAAAGGGGCGGGATTTTAATGCCCGCGGACAGAAACCTTTGTAGGGACCTGGCACTTCAATTAAAGCCCAAAACTCCAGCAGGAGAACCGAGGAAGATGGGTTGGGCGTGGGGAGGATGGTGCAGGCTGGAGAGCCTTCATTTCCTAGATGGAGGACGATAGATAAACGCAGAGATGGCTAGATATCCCAACTCTGTATTTTCCTGTTCCTCCTTCCTGCCTCCCCCCCCCCTTTCATCTTTTATCCTTTTTCGTCGACGTAGATTTGTCATTTAGTTATGAAAATCTTCTTCACACGCACATACACAGGGCAAGATACGCTAAAGCACGGTGCAAGAAAGCCAACTGGCGTCCTTTCCTGAAATCAATGAGGAACGTCTGGGATTTGTGAAGCCTCTTTCTTCCTTGAACGTGGCTTGAATATCGATTTCTCCGTGCCAGAGAGAGGCCGAGCGGACCCCTTCCACTCCTTGGACCCTTCCCCGTTCCTCCCCCGCGCGCAAAAACGCGCGCGCGCACGTACACTCGGGGCATGTTGGATCGGCCCCGTCCGGCTTCCACATCGGGTTCTGGCAAGACTCTAAGGAAGCTGCGGCTGAGTCTGGTTCGCCCTGGGGTGTGAAAGAGGGAAACCAGAGCGGTGCGTGTGAGTTGCGCGCCTGTGAGTGCTGGGAGATTCTTGTCCGCCCTGCACAACCAGGCACGACACTCGACAACGTTTCCAAACGACCCCACACCCCCAGCCCACCCCACCCTTCTCACCCACTAAGTGAGACCGTGAGCAGCCGCCACCGGGCGCTTTGCGTAGCCCGCTTTATTGTCCTTTCTGCGATTTTCTCCGTCCAGACGTCCAGGGCTTCTCGGACAGCGGCGGAAGCGGCTCTCGACGGCTGAGGACGGCTTACACCAACACGCAGCTGCTGGAGCTGGAGAAGGAGTTCCACTTCAACAAGTACCTCTGCAGACCCCGCCGCGTGGAGATCGCCGCTTTGCTGGACCTGACCGAGAGGCAGGTGAAGGTCTGGTTCCAGAACCGGAGGATGAAGCACAAGCGGCAGACGCAGCACAAGGAGATCCAGGGGGACGCCAGCCTGGACCGGGGCGGCGAAGAGGTGGTGGTGGAGGAGGAGGAGGACGAGGAGGAGGAGGAGGAGGGCAGCTCTCCGTTTGGAGGCGCCCTGGAGATCCCTTGTCTCTACCCGCCGGGCCGCAGAGAGCCATCGAAGGCCGCCGCCGGTTACCTGACACCCACCGAGGAGCGAGCCCGCGACGCGGAGCCAAATGGGGCAGCTGGCGCTCGCTCTTCCTCCTCTTCCTCCTCCTCCTCGGACAATGCCTTCCCAGAGAGCCAGAAGTCTCCTTTGTTGCCCCCAGATCTGAGCCTCTTCTCGGCGGATGCGTGCCCGCAGACCTCGGGAGCACTTTCTCCCAGCCTCCAGGGGTTCTTAGACAGCCCCGTCAGCTTTTCTGTAGAAGACTTGGATTTTTTTACGAGCACCTTCGGCACCCTCGATCTGCCGCATCTGAATTTCCAGTAGCCACGAAACGACCTTTGCTTCTCTGCCTTGGGTTCTGTGCCCCACAAACCTCGCACAAGCATACAAACCAACAGCCAGCATCCTGGTCCACCGCTCCCCCAGCCGCTTAGGCCCCTTCCGACGCAGCCCTCGCCCCCTGAAACCACATTTCCTTTGAAAGAGGGGCGCGCGTGCTGGGTTGAGCCTTCCCTTCCACCTATTTCTGTCACTTTCTAAAAAGGGATCCATGCTTTGATTAAATTCAGGTATTTTTATCTCCATATATATTTTTATTCAAAAGATAAGGGGTGCACACCATGGCCAAGGTAGTAAAGATACATAACATTGTGTAAGGAAAGACAGGCTGGACGTTAAAGATCTTTAGAGCCACAATTATTTTCCCCTTTCCCCTGCCCATTCCTATCGACAATGCATCCCTCTGAAGGGAAACAATGTCCGTCAATTTTTTTAAAATGAATTTCTCAGGAAGCCAAACAAAAGGTTAGATTTCTTAATTTAAACACAAAAAGAAGGAAGAATTGAAAAAAACACTGGAGGTTTTGCCCCTTCCTTTAATGTTTTAGAGGTAGATTATTTATTCAAATGCTTTAATAGTAAAATGCAAAGTATTTATTGTACTTTATTTTCATAGATTAAATAAATGGCTTTATAGTCTTAAAATGCTGCAGCCCTGTTTTATTTACATCTTTTTAAATTCCTTTTTGAAATATAATTCAATTTTCTTCCCTTCAACATTTGTGTAGGTTTTATTCCTATTAGATTCCTTTAATGGTGAGAAGGGATGGTTGCCATTGAGGACTATAACTAAATATTTTTAAAGGTGTACAAAACTGGACTAGTCTTTTAAAATCATCTTACTTTCTCTCTCTTTCTTTTACATAAGAAATCACCACATTATTAGTAGTGAATTCGTTAAATTTACAGTGCAATAGACAGACTGTTAGCAAATAATTTTTAAAAGAAATAAGCAAAACTTCTCATATGGGAAAGATTTCAGCTGATAAGTATTAAAATTCACAATTTATTCTTCAGAGGAAAAATTAGTTGAGCTGGACCGATTGTGTGTCCTCATCACTCAGTTATCCAGTGCAAATTAGAGAATGGAGAGTAAAGAACAGCAAGGCATTACTGGTTCTTTATAAACTCAGCAATTCTTCTTCTTGTTGTTGTTCTTATTATCATTATTTTATTATTATTATTATTATTATTATTATTAATAATATTAATATAGTAGTTTTGCTGAAATGCCTTAGTATTTTCCCCTTTTCCTAAATTGCATGTGTGTCTGTCTCTGGGATGCATAATTTATTTCAGTCCTATACCACCCAGGAGCAGAAGCTGGTGGGGTCGGTTGCAACATTTTTAAAAGAAGAAAAAATTATCTAAAATCTCTGTAATGATTTAGAATAATTATCAGTACTAGTAAGGGGAAGGAAAGAAAAATTGTTCAGGTGGAGCAATTTTTCCGAAGAGCACTTCAGAATCCAGTTCGAACAGCTAAAAGGTCCGTTTGAAAAGGAAAGCAAGAGTCAATATCAAAAAGATTAATAATCTAGAAGAAAGTTGTGCATGCACAAGAACAGAGGGAGACGCAGAGAGAAAATCAAGAATGGAGCCAGGGACATTTCCGCTCGGAGAAGAATATTCAGCCCTTGCTTCTAGCTACCGAATAGACAAAATATCAGACCCCAGAGCAAGAAGTTCGTGCTTTTGCGATTCCGAGTGTGGGATAAAACACCCTTCCAGAATTCAGAATTCAGCGGGGGGATTAAATGCCAGTGCAACATTTTTAGAGATTCTTTCTCGCCAGCACCTATTTTAAAAAGAAATTAATTTTTCAAGACCATTGTTTCTTTAAAAGGGTGGTTGGGGCCTGGGTGGGAAAAGCCTGGTGCGCTGTGCAAGGGGAAACGTTCCGGCGAGGCATCCCTGGCGATGCGACGCACACACAACGTTACACACAGAGACACACAAATAAATCATATTACGTCTTTGCTAAGTCACTGGTGTTTCCCCGATCGTGGCAGAATTTTGGGAGGCATTCAAGTCGCATTTTTGGGCCAAAGTGACACCCTGAGCTCCGCGGCGGGGGCCGCGGGGGGGGGCGCGGGCGCTCAAAATGGCGCGGGGCGCTAGTCCTGCACAAGGCGAGGGGGCGGCGGGGCGGGGGGCGCGGCCCGGGCGGCCATTACAGAGGGAAGAAAATGTGCCATTATTTCGGGTTGGCGGGGGGGGGGGGCGCGCGTGGGCGGAAGGCATGTCGGCGGCGCCTCTGAATAGGCAGATGGGGCTTTTGAAATGCCAGCTCCGCCATTCGGGAGGTTTTCTTCCGCGGGAGCCCACCATCCTTGCGATGGGCTGCGCTTTCTCGATGGCCTTTGAAGACGGGCCGAGACACGTCCCCTGCTCCGTGCGAGTGCGCTGGATTTCATTCCTTTTCCTGCGTGTGCGTGTGCTTTAAATCCATTACTGAAAGGATGGCGCCCCGAAGGATGGCTTCGTAGGAGCCATGTTTAAGGAAAGGACAAAACCCGTCCTTGCTCAGTTCGGGAAGCTCCTCTGTCAAAGGGGCCTTTAGAGACACATTTCCCACGCCACGTCTTCATAAGACCAGGAAAGGTGCTTTTGGAATCCACTACACGGAAGCCAAGCATACAGCGAAAAGAATTCCTTCCGCCAAGCTCCCCACCTGAGCCTGAACAAAGTGAAATTTATCTCAGACTTTCTAGACAGCCCTGTCTATTTTTCCGTTTGGGTTGCAATTCTGCACGCATTTACTTGGGACTAAGCCCCATTAAAAGTGAAGGAACTTGACTTTTGAGTAGATACGTATAGACTTAAACTGCAGGGCTGCAATGGAACACAGTAGGACTTACTTCCGAGTAAACGTGCACAGGACAACACTGCTAGGCTGCTATACTATGTCAGTCCTGCTGAATGGGACCTACAAGAGAGGAGGATGAGAAAGGATTGCGCTATTCTTTATCCATTCATAACATATTCCACTCTCTCCAGCATATCAGTAGGGCATTGAAAACAGACCTTTTGGCAACGCGTGGGACCAGGAATCACATGGAAACATTCCTATTAAGATTGGCTCAGATTTTTCTTGGGAATGCATGGATTTATTGATACTGTTTTTGCACATTTCTCTTGACCCAGTTCAGGAAGATCTGCTGTTTGGAAACTGGTTTCCTGGTTTCTCCCAGTGCAAAGAAGACACTGCTATGGGAAACTGCCTTCCCTCCCAGTTCAGGTTGCAAGCAGGACTCTGGATCAACAGAGGAAACAGCTCCTACCCTTCTGCAGGCTGACGTGACACACACACATATATCTATATATATATAGCTATTGCACAGAGCTCCATAGCATGTCCTAAGAACACTGTCGCATCCTGCTCTGCTGTGGTGCAAGACATTCTGAGATATGTTTTTCAGATCCCTTAATGCTTCCCTGCCCCACAAAAATATAGAAATATAGGCACTCCATGCAACTGCTTGGGATGCTCTTGGGATGCATCTTGGGATGCTCTCTCCATGCAACTGCTTATGAGGGCTCTTCATAAACCCTCTTTTCTCCCTGGAGCTCAAGGTCACATACCTGCCTCTTCCCCATCCCCACCGGCTACCTTACATTTAAAATATCTTAAGAAACAGGCTGAGTATCTGAGATCACAGGGAGAGAAGTAGCCATGGACACATCACTAGGGAACCAGCTCCAGAAAATCGGGGTCAATAGTCCCAAGCTATCTTCACGAAACTCTGTGCAGTGGGCTAAATGAGAGATATAATGACTATCCAAGGCCATGTAAGAAACATCGTTGGATCCAGATTTGGTCATACTTAGAACAATCCTACTGAAATGAGTGAGAATTAATGTAGACATGTTTAACTCAAGTCCCACTGACTTTAGTGAGTGGACTCTAAGAGTGACTAAGTCTGGATCCGTCCCAGTAATTATCTCCGTTCCTCGGTTCAGGCGGCACAATTTTTGAACGAGTGATTATTGCAGGGGAAAGGGCAGTCCTGCCTGATAGCTTCTGACCCAGGGCTGGCCCAACCATGAGTGGTCAGTTTCTTGGTGCTGCTGCTATAACTGCAGGAACTTGTACAGTTGTTGTAATATCCCTGCTGACCAAAGATTGTAGCTGCTTCTGCTAGGTTTTTGCAACTGAAAGACTGCAGAATTAGGTACGGCAGGAATTTGGGGGTGGGGAGGATTCCAGGGCTATTTCACATGCTGCTCTGCAGAAGGGTAGCTTTTCCAGGTATGTGTCGCACATTCTCGTGGCAAAGAACACCATAATATTTTGAATGGTGGATGTAAGTCTGCAAACAGGCCTTGCTTATGCCCCAGAGAGATGGATTCAATGGCAGCTTGCCATTGCTGGGCCACCACATTTCTGCGTGTTTTTAGAGACTTGGTTCTGTCCTTAGTATCTTATGGGGCACACAAATACAGCTTTCACAGAGTTTTAAAAAAATATTTTCATTTATCTCTGCATGTATTTATTGCATTTCTATACCACCCAATAGCTGAAGCCAGAATTCCATAGTCTTATTTCTAAGACACTGTTCAGTCCTGTGTTCCTATCTTTGTATAAGTCATCTTTTATACTGCCGTTCAATAAATTCCCAGAGAAATATGTAGAGAAAAGTAGTTGCAGCATGGCCCAAATAATTCTCTTAAGTTTCTTTGGTTCACCAGTAGCAGCTGAAATTATGTTTCAGGGCTACATTCTGGTCTGAATAGCTCAAACTGATCCAGGATAATATAGCTAACTAATCATTAATGACTTGTATTTGTCTATATCAGTCTACAGCAATTAGGAAGATAACTGCATCAAGGCATTAGTATGAGACTTAGCCTCAGAAACTGTTTTCAACATGAGGGTTCAGACCCAGAAGGGTCAAGATAATTCCAAGGGAAACAAATGTCTCTGAGCATGTGCAGAAGACATTTCAGTTTACTTTTTTATTCACTGATAAATTCCGCACCAGTAATGCCAATAAGGATGTGCTAAATTTTGCATACACAAAATGACAATTCCCAGTTTGCACAGCTCATACAACGAGAACAAGAAAGTGGTGGATACGTGACAGGACCAGAAAAGAATAGCAGGTTCCACACTAGACATCAAGCAAGGATACGTACCTGCATCTGCAGTTCCATGTCCTGAAGCTTGCTTGGTGCACAAGGTGGAGTAAGTAGATATGGAGCCATTTTTCTGCTTTTCTCTAGTTGCTAGACCTCGAGATCATTCAGTGAAGCTGTGAGTGTGTGGGAGATTTGGAGCTGAACAAAGGAAGGATCTCCACATAGCATGAAGTCACACAGCAGAATTTGCTAACACTTGATGCAGTGATGGCCTCCATCTTGGATGGCTTCAAAGGGGCATTAGACAAATTTGTGGAGGAGGCAGCTCTCAATGCAATGAGCTGTTGTGCTCCCCAAAGTATCTGGTTGGTTACTGTGGGACTTAGACTAGATGAGCATTGTCCAGGTAGGGCTTTGGCTTGATCTAGGATAGCTATTCTGTTGGGCACAGTTAGGGGTGAGAAGGAAGAGATTAAGTAAAGGAGCTTCCAGGGATATGTGGCACCATTGCCTCTTTCACTCACTTCCAAGCTATGCCTTACATGAAGTAA